GCTGGCCCCTAAACAAATGTATACCAGTTCAGTGATAATGGACGCCATGCTAAACTCCAAATTATACACAGGAAACTAAAATTAAAAATGATACAAGACTAAGAAAGGCCAGAGGCTCCTGACTTGGGACAGGCGCAAAAATGCGGCGGGGTTAAACATGTTTTTTGAAAATATGTTTTCATTTTCAGTATTTTTCTGATACATGTAGATGGACAGTCTGGGATTAAATTTTCTTGGCATGATAAAATTAGTAAACCTTCATGGATTGTTATGAATTTTGGACAAAAGCTAATCTTCAAGACCAAGAAAAAGCATCTAAAGGGAAAGTGATTTTTTTTTCAATTCTGTATTTTACTGATAAATGGACTCACTTTTTAAATCAACATTACACTTTTACAGTGACAGCAGCAATCGTAGGCGAGACACAGGGTTCCGGGGAACCTCTTACAAATTTTAAGATATCTTATCAACAATATAAGATATCATATTCTTTATAAGATATCTTATAAATTTTACAAGATATCTTATATACTTCATTAGATATCTCATATATTTTTAAGATATAAAGTTCATAAAATATCGTATAGAGTTTATAAGATATCTTACAAATATATTTTATATAAGATATCTTATACACTTTATAAGATATCCCATATATTTTATAAGATATCTCATATAATTTATAACATATAAAGAAAATTATATGAGATATCTTATGAATTATATGAGATATTTTATACACTATATACGATATCTTTTAAACTTTATGTATGGAATGATAGTAAGTTGTAAATGTCTGTCTGACATGGTTCATCTTCCTGTGACCTCATTTTCTGAAACATTGATAAGGGTTAAGTTTATGTGATACTTGTAGTAAAACATTCATATTAAAGACTTTCAAAATAAATCCCAGACATGGAAAATAAATACCGTAAGGTCGGCTATAAAAGGCCCGACATGAAAAATATGAAACAATTTAATTGATAAAACTAACGTTCTAATTTATAAAAAAAACAATTTATGCAAAGCAAATATGACAGACATGAACCAACGACAACCACTTTCGGGACCACCCCTCCCCCGCTTGAAAATCTTGAAATATTTTTTGTCAGCAAAAAGCATCCAATCACTTAATCATTTCTTTTTTTAATGTTATCTTTATTAAAAATTGAATATTCAGTGAGCACTTAATTGGGTGACACGTTGTCGCTACACTCCGTTAAATACACACTTCATAATTACATTGGCCTGGGGGGAAATAATTAGAGGACCAAAGGATTTAATTTAGACCATCCAAGGCTGCTATCCTATATTTTATTACTTTGTTGGTTTAATAGTTAAAACGACGTTTTCTGATAGCTTGATTTGAAGAGAAATCCTTGCTCACTCTATAATATCCACAAGATTTTTTTTATTATTTTTTTTAAATTCTGCAACTGCTGCGACACCTGCTGAATCTAAGGATACTGCAAACTTTATTTCCACATCTGTACCTAGTGCTGATATGTATAGCATTCTAATTGAAAACTGGCAACCACTCATCATAGTTTTTTTTTCCTTTTCCTAAACGAGAAATGTACGGGTTTAAAAGATGCTTCACTATTACCCATGGATTGTCTATTTAACTTCACCGACGGAATTTACTGCAAATTTTTCGTTTTGTTCGCTACTGACCACACCCTCGGACACAGAATTTGGTAAAGATAAATGGTGAATGTAAATTTCACGGAAACACAGAATACCACCAAACAGCCTTATTAAGAGAATTACAAGACTTTCAGCTCTTTCAAACTCTTAAAGACCTATTTGCGATCAACCATGACAAGCGAGAGACTCAATGGCATTGCTTTAAATGCATATTCATATCAGCACGAAAATTGTCAAAAGTGCAGTGATCGATCAGTATGCTAGAGCCTATAACATCAGGATGAAATTATCAACAATAGACTTTTTAGGATAACTTTGTACATTCAATGTTTGCCAATTTTCATTTATTGAAGTATTTTTATCTGTAATTAAATAATTAAACTAATCTAAAAATTCAATTTTGAGTAACCATATGACGGATGAACAAAAAGTGGGCTAATTATTGAAAACATAAAGTTTGGTTAACAATTAAGAAAACTTCTATAATGTTCAAAAATGCTTCTCAACACCCCCTCCCCCCCCCCCCCCCCCCCCCCCCCCCCCCGACTTTAGCTCTGGATCCGCGCCTGAAGCACTAATGTACATCAACGGTGATTTAAATAAAACGGAAAGAAAACAGGTCATACTTAATTTCATTAGTAGTCTATCAGAATGACAATTAAGAAAGTACCAATGGACAAAAATAAAAATACAAAAATTCGAATAATATAAAACTACTGAGTCCTATCAGGACGTTGATGTTTTGGGTGCGTAATTGACATACTTCTTGATTTGCTGGGACTTATATCCTTCTTAGTGGTTGTTGGTGCGTTGCCTCGTGGAAATGATTCCAGTACTAACGATTGTTTCCTTCTATCCATTACTCGACGACAATCGTTTTGGTGTCTTCATGTGCAGGAAACCTTACGTCTTCAACTAGCTCTCGTTTTCAAGAGGTAGAACTTCAGCACATCTTACCTGTGGAGTCGACGTGTTCTTTGTTAGCGGTGACGAGTCAGTTTGTCTCCATTTATAAAGTGAAATGGGAGTACAAACGAAAAATGATAGACATATTTCATACTTTGCCAAAATGTAGAATATATTAAAAATGATATGTTTCCGAACTTGAATGTTTTTTTCAAGCTACAGCTGGGACTATTATACTAGTATCATAGTCCCAGGCTACATGTTGTAATAAAATGACACTTTTGGAATGAATTATACAGAGAAAAAGCTTCAAAGTGAAAATAGAAGATAGACTTAAGGATTAAAATTTTGAAATAAACTATGACATTGTCAAGATAGAAAAAAATCATAAAATAGAAAAAATCCTGAAGATTCTTTTATAAATTGTACTTTTAAATGAGTTGCCTCCCCTTTATAAGCAATTTAAAATAAAAAAATAATTCATGAAAAAATATTCTACTTTTGTAAAAATATGAGTAATTATAATTTAAGATCACATAAATTTGTTAATTCAAATGAAAGTAATTGTTCGTAAATTGCATAACTGCATCGAAATTAACTGACCCAATCAAAAATCTAGACCTATTGTGTTCAGCTATTTTACAATACAAGTTGGTGAAAAACATCCTTAACTATAGTAGAATAAGCAGCCTCACAAAGTTACGATAGCAAATACATGTTGGAGAAAATTGCGGATAGCTGTCACAAAGTCAGTGTAGAATATCTGCGATTCAATTTTTTGTTGTTGTTGTTTTTATTGTTGTTGCTTTTGTTGTTGTTTTTGTTGTTGCTTAAAAAGCAGTCAGTAACTCCTCAGTTTGTAATATTTGGTTAAATGTTGGAAAACCGTGAAAATCCCGCATAATGTTGGACATATTTTTGTTAAGTATGCTATAAGGATATGATATATACATATGTATGTTTAAGTACAGTTCATGGAAAATGTTGTGCTGGTCATCTTATAATCGCATATATAAGTATATATACATTAATTATATTTGCTGTATAATAAACATATCATGCATGAAATAATAATGAGATGTAATGATTCGTAAAAAAGAGAATAATTTTATTTGTCATCTTTTCCTATTACATATGGACACTTTTGATATTTAATACAGCTTACTCATTGTCAAAAGACAAACTTGTTGCTTTAAAACATAAGTGCCTATGTGCTAAATGAAAAAAATAAATTAATTAAATCATATCAACTTTCTAGTAAATATAATGTAAAGGAATTCAACCAATAATGCATGCATATACATTAAACTAAGTACTCTGTGCACGTTTTTTTTACAAATCCATATTGTACTTTCGACCCCCAAAAAAATCGTCATTATGTGAAATGAACGATAACTTTATCTGCTAATTAACTTTCGGATATTGGTGTCGAAGTTTAACGATGCTGTCCCATAATTTTGTTTATCGCTATTTTACGAATTTTTCCTTTGATCTTACTGACTGATAATTTCCGTTCTCAGCGGAGTTTAGTGATATGAAAACGGAGTCGAGTGATATGAAAATTATCGCTTGAAACTAAGGGAACACGTACCGTTGTCACGGAAATTAACAACGTCTTCATAGGTAAAATAGCGATAAACAGATTATCATTGGTCATCTCAACTCGATTGCTTTTTCACACTTTCGCCGTACCGGCTCAAGCGAGAAAACCAATCTCGTTGAGATAACCAACGATAATCTATAATTATCAACAGTTATTAAAGGATTGGGTGTATTGACATGTTTCTTTCACAATGAGTTAATACTATCTTCATTCCCCCTCTTTTGCTGTCATTCAATTCCATCACATTTTCCCTCGTACTTGCCGCCTGTGCGATTGCCCAAATTCACATGAAAGGTGTCATGGTTATGGTCACTCAATACGGAAAAGATGTCGGCGAATTAGAGCATGGGAAGACAATAATCCAATAGCAGTACATTTCTGAAGATTTGGATAGCATAACGAATTCTGTTTTATAAGAAAGTCTATGTACATGTTTTTATAGTAACAATTAGCCATTTAAGTAATAAAACGTATTTTTTTGTTTGTTAAATTAGAAGTATCATATGACTTTAAATTATCTTGAATTTGAACCAGTATAAGCACATCCAAATGCAGAATCGCGTAATTTTTGCACGTGAACTTGTAGTTGTGCTCGTGTTATCGTCACAAGGTCGTGTTATCGTCACAAGGTCAATTTTAAACGCTATTTCATTTCCTGTTATCAACCTATACATCATCAGTTGATAAATCCGTTTAAGAACTATGTAACACCAGAGACATATACTACAATATGTCTCTGGTAACACTATAAAACATTCATATTAGATAAACATTTCCTTATTTATTTAGATATATAAAAAAGAAAGTATCCGGTTACATATAGATGAATCAGACAAAGGAAACTGTATGTGAGGTTGGTTTGTATATACTTTCCTTCAAACTGAGGCTCTAAAATAGCTTTTATTCAAAATGTAGTTGCAAATCTGGTGAGAAAGAGTTACACCTCCCCCTTGTTTAAAAAAAAAAAAAAAAAGAAAAAGAAGACTGAGATGAAGACGAGATATTGCTGGATATAAGAGGTAAGCAACATTGTAAGTAGATCGTGGATGACCGACATGAACATAGACTGACTTAAGAGCCTCAAGAGCCTCTTTATTTACATGTTGATTGTTTACATATAATTACTTAATTGAGCAATGATTTTTTTCAATCAATAACTAGTTTGATGTTTCAAACAAGGTAGGACAGTTTTGATGTTAATATGAAAATATCAATGTACACTATTTAAAATATTCTTTTTAAAATGTATTTATTATGTTGTAAACAATGTACATATATACAAAAAAAAAAAAAACAGAAAAACTAACCAATTAGTGTGATCAAACAGTTGTTTAAAACCATAAAGATAATGATAATAACCAAACACTATCTAGCTATAATAAATTATTAGTATCTATTAAAGGATAAAAATGCGTTGGTTAATCATCACAGATTTTTTTATATTGCAACCCAATCACTTCCTGTACAAGTTTTAGTCTATCTTTTACCATTACGACTTATACAATACACATAAGTTAGTCTTTATAAAAATAAGAAGATGTGGTATGATTGCCAATGAGACAATTATCCACAAAAGACCAAATGACACAGAAATTAACAACTATAGGTCTTTGCATATTGTCTATGTTGTTTATTGTGTACTCTTTTCTTTTTTTGCTATGATTTTTTTCAGTTTATTTTCGACTTGTGAGTTTGAATGTCCCTTTGGTATCTTTCGCCGCTCTTTTGTATTCTCCTCTAGTGTCGCTGGCCAGAGACCTAATTTGTTCGGTACATGTACATGTTTTACGAGGGGTTACATTGGCGGATAAAAGGGGATGTTCCTGGGGTTGCTACTCCCATTTTTTTGGATTTTTTTAATTATGTGAACGTTTCACGGTGTTCATTCTAATTTCATTTTTAACGAGGCGATTTGCTTGTTTTTCTTGTATTTAGAGATAAAAATACATTTAGAAAAAGTATTAACAAAACTATCGAACTCCAAGGTAAGTTCAAAAAAGGGGAAATCCATAAAACTTGACAAACTCAAACGCTCGACTATATCAACCGACAAAAACGAACGGAAAACAACTGACATATTCTTGACTTGGTACAGCACGCTACTTTTCACGAGAAAATCGCAAAACGGAATATGGTTCAACCACTCTACATTTTTAATAGTTATTTTTAGATGTACACATTGTCTCCAAGAAAATGGGATCACCGTACGTTTTGTCTGCTATAGCATAAATTCTAAAATTCATGTTGATCCCTTTAGAAATTATACTGTCCTCATGCTCGTCAGACAGTTTTCACTTGACCTCGACCTCGTTTCATGGATCAGTGAACAAGGTTTCAGTTTTGGTGGTCAAGTCCATATCTCAGATACTAGAAGCAATAGGTCTACCATATTTGTTGTATGGAATGATTGTAAGGTGTGCATGTCCAACTGGCATGTGTCATCTGACCTTGACCTTATTTTCATTATTCAGTGGTTTTAGTTAAGTTTTTGTGTTTTGGTCTGTTTTCTTTTACTGTATGCAATAGATCTACTATATTTGGTGTATGGAATGATTGTAAGGTGTACATGTCTAGCTTGCAGGTGTCTTCTGACCTTGACCTCATTTTCATGGTTCAGTGGTCAAAGTCAAATTTTTAAGATTGGTCTTTTTTTCTAATACTATATGCAATAGGTCAACTATATTTGGTGTATGGAAATATTTTATAATGTACATGTCAGTCTTACAGGTTTTATTTGACCTTGACCTCATTTTCACGGTTCATTGCACAGTGTTAAGTTTTTGTGTTTTGGTCTGTTTTTCTAATATTATAAGCAATAGGTCAACTATATTTGTTGTATGGAAGGATTGCAAGCTGTACATGTCTGCCTGGCATGGTTCATCTGACCTTGACCTTATTTTCATGGTGCATTGGTCAATGTTTAGTTTTCTTGTTTAAGTCTTTATCTTAGAAACTATAAGCAATAGGTCAACTATATTTAGTGTATTGAATGCATGTAAGTTGTACATGCATTTCCTGTTTGATTTATATGACCTTGACCTCATTTTCTTGGATCATGTTAAGTTTATGTGATAGTTGTAGTAAAGCTTTATATTTAGGAATATCAACATCATATCGATGATTAGTAAAGAAGGCGAGACATTTCAGCGTGTACACTCTTGTTACGCATTATCAATTGGTTTGGATGCAACGTCATCGACAACGTCTTGACAACACTCATGTTGTTGTATGACGTCAGTGGAGTAAAAATATCAGATTTATTTCACATGTGAAGTTATCGTTTTTTTCCACTGGGAAATCACGGTAATACATTGCAAGTAATGTAAAAATAGTTATTAAAATTTAAAATCACAAAAATGTGTCCGTTTAAATGAAAATTCACATTACATAACTGCCTTTCTGTATCAGATTTTACTGCCTCGATTGAAAATCTCGCCTTATTGTGTTCTGCTAATTTACAATTCAATATGGTGAAATACACCTTTTTTTACTACCTTAATTTTTGTTTGTTGTAGGTATAAGAAGAATAAAATAATGTATCTAAACAGATTCCTACTCATTTTGACAATATTTGTTCTGGTGGTCAGTTCTGAGACGGGTGAGTAAACTATTAATTATTAAAGGCACCAAATGCACTCAGTGTGTCAGTGTGTATTGAAAATGAAAAAAAGATGTAAGCATTTTGCTATACAGCATTTAATTGATCTTTTATGTAGCATATATGTTACCGCCTTTAAGAACTATTTTCTGCAAAGACGGAGCAGATTGAAAATTGAAAAAAAAAAATTATGTCTGCGAAAAATTGTCCATTCCCTCAAAAAATTATTTGATTATTTCAAACCGCCATTGCACACCATACGGTCTATTCAACATAGATAGTTTTATTATAATTTTTAATTTTGTAATGCACCCTAGTAATAAGTTGAATAAGGAAAATTTTGATATAAATCATGTTGTTAAACTACTAAACTCTTATGTGTATAACATTTTTCATACATTCAAGTTTTATTTATATGTTTAATTGTATACTTTAAAACCTGATATATGTATCAGCCCATATGAACAAATGATGCGCAATTATATATCAGGAAAAATAAATACCTTCATACAAGCAATTCAGATATTATCTTGTTTGACGAATGGTTTAAAAGTAGAATAATATAAAAATAAGAAGATGTGGTATGGTTGCCAATGAGACAACTCTCCACAATAGACCAAATAACACAGAAATTAACAACTTTAGGTCACAGTACGGCATTCAACTAATTTGTGTACAAAGTAATGAACGAAAAACAAATATGAATATATGCCTGAATAATTAGGCAACAGAAATGATGTCATGGTATCAGTTAGTATGTATATATATATATATATATATATATATATATATATATATATATATATATATATATATATAAACAAGTCTATATAAATTGAAAACAACGTTCAAACCTTTGATTGCGTTGGATAAAAACCGCCATTTTTATACGTGTGCATGCAAAACAAATTTCTTGGTAGAGGGGTCTAAATACAGCACAAACAACATTTTCCAAAAGACCAAATGAGTGAAAAAGTATATTTTAACAAAACGCATTTGACTAGCAGGTCGAACAACTGATGTTCTTGAACCCTGCTGACTGCCATTGGCGATTGCCAAATAAACGGATCACAAGATGTAACAAAACAGATCTTATTATTAAATTATTACCAAACAGAAAACAATAAACTTGCGGAAAAGATGGTATACCGCAAACACGAGGTGCAAAAATTTGTACACCATGTCCGGATTTCGACAATTAATGTCTCTTCAGTGATGTTAGGAATCGAAACGGTATTTGGAAGGCCATATAATTTACCACAATTTAGGATAGACTCTTGAATTTTGAAAGAGTCAAAATAGGATGAACGGATCATATAAACCCGAAGGCAAATATAATACAAGCCCAAACGAAAAAATATAAACAAGTCTAAATTGAAAACAACGTTCAAACCTATGATTGCGTTGGATAAAAACCGCCATTTTTATACGTGTGCATGCAAAACAAATTTCTTGGTAGAGGGGTCTAAATACAGCACAAAAAACATTTTCGAAAAGACCAAATGAGTCAAAACGCATTTGACTAGCAGGTCGAACAACTGATGTTCTTAAATCCTGCTGACTGCCATTGGCGATTGCCAAATAAACGGATCACAAGATGTAACAAAACAGATCTTATTATTAAATTATTATCAAACAGAAAACAATAAACTTGCGGAAAAGATGGTATACCGCAAACACGAGGTGCAAAAATGTGTACACCATATCCGGATTTCGACAATTGATGTCTCTTCAGTGATGTTAGGAATCGAAACGGTATTTGGAAGGCCATATAATTTACCTCAATTTAGGATAGACTCTTGAATATATATATACAAGTCTAAATTGAAAACAACGTTCAATATATATATATATATATATATAAGTCTGAAAATTAAACCCAACAGTGTTAGAATTTGATTTTTATGCTAACATTTTTTTTCCCTCAACGGGATTTGAACTAACACCATTGATACACTACAGCACCAAACGCTTAGACTCATGTCCAGCGCTCTAGACCACTCGACCACATCCGCTATATAAAAAAATATAACTTCAATAGTCGTAGTGTTACCTTGTCTCGTAAGGCGAATCTAGAGATAGACATAAGACACGTGTTTTAAGCGTGTGTAGATGTTATATTATTTATTTTTACACACAGTGTATTTTTTCATTTGTTAGCAATGATTAAATTCATTTTAAAGTCACTAAAAATAAGTATATCATACAAACAAGTCTAATCAAGTGACAACCATACAATATATCTACCCACTGGATCTCAGTGTGTTTGAGATACTGGGTTAATACAAATATTTGTATAAGTCTGAAAATTAAACCCAACAGTGCTAGAATTTAATTTTTATGTTGACCTGAGACTACTATAACACAGAGATTGGTCACTATAGATTTATCGGATTATCTGAGTCTCCGGTAGTTAGCTACGTTATTTTAACATAGTTTCGTATTCGACCGTAGCAGACGACATATATCACCTATCACTGAGAATACTATAACAGTATCGGATATTATTATTTTTCTTTTAAAAATAATTTAAAAACAAAATTGAATTAATCAAAAAAAAAAAAAGAATATAGTTTTTATCTTTCAAATGCAGTTATCTCTATTCATATTTAAATTTTTGTTTTTAATCATTAATAATTTGTTAATAGTTTGTTATTATGCGGCCACTCTTGAAAATGTGAATGTGATTAATCTTATCAATCTTACAGTTACATTGTTTTGCTACACATCCGTTAATTGTATCTAATATACAAATATTTTACCTGTAAAGACAGGTAGTCTCAAAAGCATGGGAGATGAATTTTGTTTCACAGCTGGGTGCCCAAGGTACACGAGGCTCCGTTTATTGCAGTAAACTTTTATTCTATACTTGTAAGGTATTTCACTGCTGAGTGCCCAATATACATGTTTATTGTAGTAAACCTTGTCAAATATCGTCGGTGCACTTGTGGTAGGATTCAGGAGGGTGTGGATGGGGTTTTATAGAATGGAGAAATAGGGGCAAAAAAGGTATAGAATGGAGAAAAATGGACTGACAAATAAAGAATAGAGAAGAGAAAATAATAAGTTATTAAGATTTAAAGAATAGAGAAAAATGGCATAGAAATTATAGGAAATAAAGAACCCCCATCCAGACCCTCATTCAGATTATCCAACGTAAATTTTTGTTTTCAAACAAGTTTCAACCCCCCCCCCCCCCCCCCCCCCCCACCCACTTTTTTTAAAATGATAATGATTTCTGATAATTAGGTGAAGTTTTTGCAAACAATGTAATAAGCGGCGATCACAGAAGAGAGAAAAAATTTCATTAAAGGTAAATGAGTAATTTCCTTACGTAACAGATCAGCAAAGAGGTTATAACTGCAATGGATACATAAAGCAAACATAAGCCCTACAAATTATATATATGTTCCCAAAATATCGCTGGCATTTTCATTTTTCAATTCACAATGTCCAGTAACATTGATTTTTTATCTTGGGATGATAGTGATCTCAATCTTGATCTTTTACGTGGTGAATATACTGCATCAGATTTTGAATCTGAGGATGACTATACGTCCCTGCTGCAAAGACTGCAAAAACTACAAAAGAAGCATCAACCGCAAGAACATGTAAACCAGAACGAAGAAGCTTCAAAATTATGTGACTGAATAATCAAATTATCTCTCTGTTAACATAAATAGAACCACATTAGGGTAATTTACGATGACATTTTTTCAACACCAGAAATATGTGCCCTCTTTCAAAATCTCAGACAAGAAATTTTGTGCTTCAATACAGAGCCGTAAAGTTTTTGAAAATTTGAATATTGTCTATTGTTAAAGTGTCGTATGTTTTAGTTATATCGCTATGCTTTTTGTAACCCTAATAATTGAGCAACTCAGATGAAAAGAGTTGTGATTTGCTTTAGTTTTTTTAGCCACAGCAAATATAAATGTGCTTGTTCAATGTTTGGTGACATACCATGTTAATTGTTGTCTGCATGATGCTTTGTAAAAAGGTTTCCTATAACATTTTTTTGTTGGGTAACTGCTGACAGTTTACCATGTGCAAATTCTGAGAAGCCAAAAATAATGCGAAATGTATAAATAAGTAGCAATGTCAGATCTAAACAAGAATGTTAAATATGATAGCATATATTGATATCACCTTTCTGTAAATTCAATATAGTAGTCTCAGTGTTGACAATTTTTTGTCCCTCACCGGGATTTGAACTCACGCCTTTGATACACTACAGCACCAATCGCTTAGCCTCATTTCCAGCGCTCTAGATTACGTTCAAAACATCAATATTAAAAGTCAACCATTCACATCAACTAATTGTACTTTGTAATTTTCATTTTTCCGCTATTTTTTATTTTGTATAGTATTAATCTATGTCTTGTTGTAAGTTATCCTCCTGTGACATAATCTTCAATTAGTTGATGCCGGTCACTATATGGTAGAAGTAGAAGCACTCGACCACATCCTATGGTGGCCGGATGCGGCCATTTCGCGTTTCCACGTTTTCTCCTTTCACTTTCACGCGAAATCGAGAAATCAGGAAATCGGGAAATCGAGAAATCGAGAAATCGGGAAATTGAGATGTCGAGATATCAAGAAAGCGAAAACGAGAAAACGCGAAGGCGAAAACGCGAAAACGGGAAATAGATTTCTGGATTTCGCGTTTTCGCTTTCTCGATTTCTCGATTTCGCTTTCTCGATTTCTCGATTTCCCGATTTCCCGATTTCTCGATTTCTCGATTTCGCGTTTGCAAAGTGAAAGGAGAAAACGCGAAAAGGCGAAATGGCCGCATCCGGCCACCATACCATCCGATTTATTAAAATATAACTTCAATAGTCGTAGTGTTATATATATATATAGTTTTTGTATATAGTAACTTTATTTGGAAAAGGACAAGGTACGATAAGCCCCCGTTTTGGCCCCCTTATTTTCTCATTTTTCAAATTTTGTTTTGGAAAGCTACTTATTATGTTGAAATATTCCTTTAGGTTTGAAGTTTGTTTGGATGAACTTCAAAACCATCAATTTCAGCAACTAGGTGAGGTGAGGGGAGTTAAAGGACACCAGCAACGCCAAAAGTAGGAAAAATTACGATTTGTGGCCTGTGTTTCTTAAAATTTAATAGCGTGCGCCTACGTGACCCGGAGAAAATTATGGCGATCTAGACAGCAAAAACAGTGATAATGACATTGTAATAAAGAAATTCCAGGGTCACGTTGGCGCAGGCACTTAGAAACTAAAAAATCGTTGTACGGAACACCTCCAAAGTGAATAATAATTACAATATCTGAATAATGACGGAAAGTTTACCCCCCTCACCTCACCCAGTTGCTGAAATTAATGGTTTTGAAGTTCATCCAAACAAACTTCAAACCTCAGGGAATATTTTAACATGATAAATAGCTTTCCAAAACAAAATTTGAAAAATAAGAAAATAGGGGGGCCAAAACGGGGGCTTATCGTACCTTGTCCTTTGATTGATTTATTGTTGGTTGCTTAACGTCTTGGATAATTTGATGTTAATTGCACATCTTTGTGTCTGTTATGTTTTTTAAACTTGTGTGACCTGGGATGGTTATGAGGATGACACCTGGCTGTATTTTGCCCTTTGTATGTCTTTTTTTATCATTGAGTTTCTGTGTTATTGACGTATACATACCTAATGCACTAAATTTTACACCAGATATTGATTGACTAATTTTGGTTCATAAGCACTTCATCTTTTTAATAAGTTTTGGAGTTCCAACTATTTTGGCCTCGAGCATCACTGAAGAGACAATTATTGTCAAAATGCGCATCTGGTTCAGAAAAAATGGAATCGTTAATGTTGTTGTGCCTTAAATTTTTGTTGTTGAAAAAATCTATACAGATTACGTTTCATGAATGTTTTTTATACCCTTTATTTTTGAAGTACCCGGCACTTGTGTCATTGAGAAAAAATCCTGTTCTGCAGAAAAATGTGAACTACAGTTAACATCATATTGTATGGAACGAGTAAGTGCTGTACAGTGGTATCATGGGAGAAAAAGAATAGACGATGTCAAGGATTCACATTACACAGGATCGTTAAAAGAAACCATGGTGCATTGTAGTTCTCAAATTCCATGTGTACGAGCCGTTATGACCCTGGTCATGGCACCGTTTTTACCACGTGATTATGGAATGTACAGATGTGTCTTGACGACACCTAGCAAAGAAATTCGCTGTGAATCTAATTTTACACTCAAACTTTCAAATCCGATTGTAACAGGTAAGAAATATACGTTAATTACGTTCTTAAAGTTTGAAAAGTTAAAAATGAAAAATATCATAGGTAGAAGTACTGAAATTACTTGACAAAATTAATTATAGACAATTCTACTAGAGCAAGGCAACATTCCATGACATAACTCATAGAAAACTGCGGCTTAAGAAACACAAAATTTACAAAAATGCGGGGTGAGCTCGTGTGCTCCTTAATGGGAAACAGCTTCTACTCCGTGACGACTGCAATGTTGTTCTTGACAATATAACAATATATGGGTGAACTCAGGCCCCAGAGTGGGAAACAGCTTCTGAATGAGAATCATTTTCTGTTTCACAAGTGACGTCTGACATGTTATTCTTGATCTTGACAATATAAAATCCGCTACTTAATTCAAGTGCGTCGGAATTTGAAACAGCTTCTGCTCCACTAGTTACGTCTAAAATGTTTGTATGGTGTGGGCCGATTCATCAAAAAAGAAAGTTGGATTGAATTGTGACAAATGGAACATATCTGTACTCATTTGTGATATTGATATTTCGCAAAGGTTAACCTAGTCAAGATTGCGCCCTTTGAACTTTCCAAATAGAAAATTAACGTTAAATAAGTTACACGTGAAATTCGTCTGAAATTAAATTGGGACATAACCAGCAAATGGAAGTCCAACTAACTGCATTTCCTGAAAAAAGTAAAACAACAAAAATACCGAACTCCAAGGAAAATTCAAAACGGAAAGTTCCTTATCAAATAACAAAATCAAAAGCTCAAACACATCAAACGAATGGAAAACAACTGTCATATTCCTGACTTGGTACAGGCATTTCCTTATGTAGAAAATGGTGGATTAAACCTGGTTTTATAGCTAGCAAACCCTCTCACTTGTATGACAGTCGTATATAATTTCATTATATTGACAACAATGTGTGAACAAAACAAACATACATAATAGGTAAAAACGTCAAAAATAGGCTGACTGATCACATTTGTTTTTACCTTTTTAGTCAGGGTTATAGTTCCCCTTAAGTTTTGCATTATTCATGTAGTATTACAGGGTATGGCATATTCCTTATTATATATTAAATAGAACAAGAAGAGCCGCTAACATCAATGTTTGATAGTTGAGTTTTAGTTTTTGATTAATTTATTTTCTCCATTGTTTACCCATTTATTTACTCTTTTATTTACTCATTTATTTAATATATTAATTAATTTATTAATTCATATGTTTCTTATTTACCCCTAACTTGTTCTAGTTTGTTTTCTTATCTTTAAACTTTTTTTTTTTTTTCAGAAAATGGCGATTCTGGGAGTATACAAGTAAAAACTAACTATATATACATTGCCATAGGTGTTGTTGCAGGCTGTGGTCTGATGATAGTAATACTCCTTATTGCCGTCATTAAACTGGCTCGAGGAAGACGACAAAGTAATCAGACATTTATTTATTAGGTTTATACTTAAAAAAGTGACGGAAGGGAATGTTCAAAACTCATATTTCGAAGAGAAACTGACAACGCCATTGGAGAAATGAGCAAAACGACAAAATTACAAACAAGTTCACAACAAAATCAACAAAGAAAACTAACTACTGAGCAACACGAACCCGAACAAAAAGTTGGGATGATCTCAGGTGCCCCGAAGGGAAGGAAGATCATGCTCTACTTATATAAATATATATACATACATTCGCCGTGTTATAATAAGTGAAAGTGGCATACGCCAGGCTTCCATTTTTTCATCCTGGTGCTCTGTCGGTTTGACTAAGATTGTCAGTTTCTTGCCGAAGGTTTTGGGTTCACTCAAGACACTCCGGCTTCCATCAGATAAAAAAACTGGCAGCCATTATATAGTCACGAATGCTGAAGTGACGTTATACAAAAACAATCAATCAATCATATTTTGACCAGCGAGCGCACTTTTTAAGTTAGGTACATGGATATTTGATGAGTTTTTATTCCACGAACATCGTACGTACTGAAATAATTGTTTAAAATGCAGGTTGTGACAAAAATGATAAATAATTCAAACTCTTTCAGATTTTTCAACTCAGTAAAGGTAAAAACAATAACATGACCAAGCGATTAAGAAAGGATATCTAGAATATATATATTTATACACGCGTCTAACAAAATACAATGACGATGTGATCAGAATTAAATAATGTAATTGAAATTTCAAATATAAAACGCTCGAAAGCATAATATCTCAGGGGACCTTATTAGAACAGTTGCAACATACAACATACATACACTATGCAAAATATGTATAGAAATTTACTTACTGTTGTATTCTTTTAATTTTAGGAAGAGTTATGGAAAGGTGAGCTACTTGGATAGAGATTTGTCTCATTGGCACTCATACCACATCTTCTTATTTCTATTTAACCAATAATATTTATTCTTGAAACTAACTTTACTTTTCATTCGATTACCTTGGAAATTACATCCACAAGTCTATAATTTGTCTAGTTTTCAGCGCACATAGTAAAGGGCCTGTATGGGGGTCCTTCATTTCTGTATTCTTTAATTTTTTAGATAATTTTTCTGTATTCTTTATAATTTTTGCCCATTATTCTCTTATTCTTTATATTTTAGCACCGCATTATTCTCTATTCTATATTTTTCTCTTTTCCTATTTTTTTTGCCACTTATTCTGCACATTTTGCCCATTATTCTCTATTCTTTATTTTTTTGCCCTATTTTTCTCTCTTCCTATTTTTTTGCCATTTATTTTGCACATTTTGCCCATTATTCTGCACATTTTGCCCATTTATTCTGCACATTTTCCCCATTTATTCTGCACATTTTGCCTATTATTCTGCACATTTTGTAAACTCCATTTCGACCCTCATCATAGATACACATCAATAAACTGTTCTGATGACCAAATCGTATAAATGACATCAATTAAAAACCACTTTAAAGAACACTGAAAGGAACAGAAACCAAACAAAATATCATAAAGTCTGAAAAATTACAGATCGTGAAATAGCTTTAAACAATACACATTAATATAAAAATATGGAGATTTAGTACGATTGCCGATGAGACAAACATCCACCAGAGTTCAAATGACGACGATATAAGCAATAATAGGTCATCGTATAGCCTTCAACTATGAGAAAAAGCCATACTGTATAATAAACTATCAAGGCACCGATATGAAAAATGTGAAACAATTCAAACGAAAAAACTAACGGCCTAATTTTTAACAATACATGTGCAATTTTCGAAATACAAATATGACAGACATGAACCAACGACAACCCCTGAATTACAGGCTTTTGACTTGGGACAAGCGCATACAAAACGTGGCGGGGTTAAACTTGCTTGTGAGCGCTAAGCCCTTATTTGTCAATTCAACACGAATGGACAATAATATTAAATTCAAGTAGATATGCATAGCATTTTTGTGAGAATAATTTACCATTGTGCCGTCAATTAAGTACTTATAGGTTACAAGACAAGAATGCATGTCAAATAAATCATTGAACCAGAACTTCGCAATAACAGTATGTAGTTATCCCGCCTTATTTGACACATAGTTTATACATCATGCAAGAATTGATACTGTTACAATGCATCAGTTCCGAAAATCTAGACTTGTCACGAAAACTTAGAAATTAAAATGTTCTGCTTCCCAGCTTAGGACGAGAGGCATTAAGGATTAAGAGCAAAATCTGATCGGCTTCGAGTCAGAATAATGCGTATTTATAGGGTGTTGTGCTTTGTCTTCATGTGGAATGGTGATGTGTGAACTAGCACGTTAAAAATCTAGTCGGCTTCGAGTCAGAATAATGCGTATTTGTAGGGTGTTGTGCTACATGTATGTCTTCCTGTTGACTGTTGACATGTGAACTAGCACGTTAAAAATCTGGTTCAGTAATTTGGTTAAGTACAAAGCAGGGTTTCTAATCATATCACATTGAACAGTTGATATGCATGTAATAATTGCCACTGGATGTTAAAATCATCATCATCATCGTCGTCGTCGTCGTCGTCGTCATGTCGTCGTCGTCATCGTCATCGTCATCATCATCATCATCATCTGTAAACATTTGAATCCATATTTGACAGTTTGTTTTACTAATTTCATCCAGGGAGATAAACGTCCAGAACAATAGAAAAGAAAGTGCTGGTCAGTCTCATCACACCTACGCTTCAATCGGTTCTGATATAGGTCATTATGAGAGTCTGTCTGGAAGAAGAGGTACAAAAGAGGGGTATGATATTCCAGGACCAGCAGTTTCTATAAAAAAAGGTAAATCGATAAAAAGAGGAACGCCTTGATATGGGTTACACTATTCCTAGACCAGTAGCTGCTTTTACTGAAACTAAATGTTTAAGTAAGGGTCCAAAACAGGTTTCAGAAGTTCAGTGACAAACTTTATTTTGTTATGTTTTATTCCGATGATGGTGGTAAGCGGTATACCGATAAAGGAATAAATAACGTTCTCTACAAGAGTTGTTGCAAAAATGTAACAAAACTATTTAAGACAATTCAACTTTTGTTACTGCAAAATAAAGTATACCATATCACAGCAAACATTTACCAATAGAACAATCAACTGTTTTTTGACTGATATAAAATAAGGAGATGTGTTATGATTGCCGATGAGACAATGATATAACTAAGGAGATATGTGCTGTGATTGCCAATGAGACAATGATATAAAATAAGGAGATGTGTTATGATTGCCAATTAGACAATGATATAAAATAAAGAGATGTGTTATGATTGCCAATTTAACAATGATATAAATTAAGGAAATATGTTATGATTGCCAATGAGACAATGATATAAACTAAGAAGATGTGCTGTGATTGCCAATGAGACAATGATATAAAATTGGGAGATGCGTTATATGTTTTCAAATGAGACAATGATATAAAATAATGAGATGTGTTATGATTCCCAATGAGACAATGATATAAACTAAGGAGATATATAATGATTGCCAATGAGACAATGATGTAAAATAAGGAGATATGTTATTATTGCCAATGAGACAATGGTAAAAACTAATTAGATGTGTTAAGATTGCCAAAGAGACAATGATGTAAACTAAGGAGATGTGTTATGATTGCAAATGAGACAATGATATAAAATAAGGAGATGTGTTATGATTGCCAATGAGACAATGATGTAAACTAAGATGTGTTATGATTGCCAATGAGACAATGATATAAAATAAGGAGATGTGTTATGATTGCCAATGAGACAATGATGTAAACTAAGATGTGTTATGATTGGCAATGAGACAATGATATAAAATAAGGAGATGTGTTATGTTTGCAAATGAGACAATGATGTAAACTAAGGAGATGTGTTATGATTGGCAATGAGACAATGATATAAAATAGATGTTTTACGATTTCCAATGAGACAATGATATAAACTAAGGAGATGTGTGATGATTGCCAATGAGACAATGATATAAAATTGGGAGATGCGTTATATGTTTGCCAATGAGACAATGATATAAAATAAGGAGATGTGTTATGTTTGCCAATGAGACAATGATATAAAGTAAGGAGATGCGTTATGTTTGCCAATGAGACAATGATATAAAATAAGGAGATGTGTTATGTTTGCCAATGAGACAATGATATAAACTAAGGAGGTATGCTATGATTGGCAATGTGACAATGATTTCAAATAAGGAGATGTGTTATGATTGCCAATGAGACAATGATATAAACTAAGGAGATATGTACTGATTGACAATGAGACAATGAATAAAATAAGGAGATATGTTATTATTGCAAATGAGACAATGATATAAAATCATGAGATGTGTTATGATTCCCAATGAGACAATGATATAAACTAAGGCGATATATAATGATTGCCAATGAGACAATGGTATAAAATAAGGAGATGTGTCATGATTGCCAAAGAGACAATGATGTAAACTAAGGAGATGTGTTATGATTGCCAATGAGACAATGATATAATCTAAGGAGATATATAATGATTGCCAATGAGACAATGCTATAAAATAAGGAGATGTGTTATGAATGCCAATGAGACAATGCTATAAACTAAGGAGATGTGTTATGATTGCCAATGAGACAATGATATAAAATAAGGAGATGTGTTATGATTGAAAAATAGACAACTATCAACCAGAGATCTAATGACGACGTGGATGTGAGCAACTATAAGAGGGTCTTGATAGGGGTCCTTTAATTTTGTATTGAATTTTTTAAGCCATTTTTTTCTGTTATTTATAAATATTTCCTGGTATTCTCTATTCTTTATATTTTAGCACCCCATTATTCTCTATTCTTTATATTTTGGGCCAATTTTTCGCTATTCTTTACATTTTGTGCCCTTTATTCTGCACGTTTTTGTCCATTATTCTCTATTATGTAAACCCCATCCAGACCCTCCTATAAGTCACTGCTCAACTTTAAACAATGAGCAAAACCTCATACCGCTAAGTAAGCTATAAAAGATCCCAAAATGACAAAATATATGAAAAAAAATATGGCAGACAGCCAAAAAAGAATGTACTTTTTTTCATTAAATAAAGATAAAAAAAACAAACCAACAATCCCGATAACACGCCTTATCGGAAAATAATTTATTAGGACACACATTGTATTGAGGCAAAAATATCCGTGTTGTGATTGTGGTTCAAATACATACTGTTGAATAACATTTTGCTATTAATTAACTTTTAGCCTAAACTGGGTGATTTTCGGTGCTATTCAACTGTTTTGTTGTTGGTTTTAGTGTAAACAATATTTTATTATGAAATTTAAACATAAAATACAAATTCTAATTGTGGCTCATAGGATTCAGAAACAATCAACACGTTATTACTTCTAGTTTCTTTATTCAAACGCCACTGATAAACCTTTTGTTATGAGAATAATAATGCAAGTCATGTGAGTTTGTAATTACACTTACGTTTAAAAAAATACAGACATCTCACCAATGATTTCAGATTCCGAAGGCTACTTGAAACCAGAAACTCATAGTAGACTGCCAGAACCGGAAGAAGCGGAAGTACAAGACGACGAATTCAGTGGTAATAGTTATGATTACAATTTCGTTTTATATTACTAAGGCTACAGGTTACAGATAAGATCAGAATTAAAAATTCCAAAGAGAGTTCAACACTATACAACACGGGACTTCTTAAAACATATTTCCCAAATATTTTCAGGGATTTATGCATAATATAAATAGAAAAGGAGAAGGTACGATTTAGTGCTTTATTGGTAGTGTAAGTAGAACGAACATACAATATTTAGATTATACAATTATTGGTTACATTTAAACCTGCTAAATGGTTGCCTCTACGGAAATGAAAATATAAATTAGTTTTTAAGACGCAATTTGATTGTGATGTCATTGGAACGACATCATTGTGAAAATTTTTTAGCTAAAAAGCTCGTTTGATGAACATTTCGGCAGCATAGAGCACAAGAGTCGCCCAAAAAGATTTTGTTTGTAAGCATGAAGATAAACATACAATACACTTTCTGTGTAAATGTCTTTTGAGGTAAGGTTCTGCATCTCTGCATCTATGAATCAAATTGTCACAGTATTGGACAAATTCATCATTTTACTTAATTTACTATCTTAACATCAATGTATTACCAATGACTGACGGATATTTCTAATTAAAACCGCCATATTTTATCATAGTACTGTACAGATTCAACATTCAATCATACCACATCTTTTTTATATATACACGTAACACATAGAGTAAAGGACAAAATGAACACCCCCCTTTCCCCCCCCCCCCAAATAAAAACACACGCACAAAAAAAAAGGAACTTAACAACAGATACATGCAAAATAAAAATGTTACATTATATAGGAGACACACACCCTATCGACTCACCTGATCTCGCTCCTATCGCGGTTCCTTCAGTTAATGTTTGTTAAAAAAAAGAACTTAACAACAGATACATGCAAAATAAAAATGTTACATTATATAGGAGACACCCTATCGACTCACCCGATCTCGCTCCTATCGCGGTTCCTTCAGTAAATGTTTGTAACCTTTATTTGTATCTTCTTAATCTATTTATGAAATTTGAACATTTGAAAACGACCGATCATAGGGCTATGATGAATTAAGATATCACGTGTGGGTACTGGAACCTTGTTTAAGATTCTTACGTAGAACTGGATGATTTAGAATCATTCATAAACATCGAGTTTAGTCTTTCTAGTGTATTCTTTGGCTCATGTTGAATGAAGGGATATTTGAGGAGTACCAAAGACACACGGTCATAGCGAAAACTAAATATAGAAATGTCGTAAAACCTTCGGTGAAAGGAAACCTTAGGATACCCCATCCCTAAAAATAAAACAAGCACGAAGAAATACCTTTCATAATTCGTCGCACGACATTCGAGCAGTTGTTTTGGATTATAGGAACGATACAAATAACTGCTGGCGTCAATCTGTTTGACAAACCGATATGCACACAGTTAATTAAAAAGACATGCCAATATACTGTAAAAAGAAAAATAACAAAAATAACGAACACCAAGGAAAATTCAAGACGGAAAGTCCCTTATCAAATGGCAAAATCAAAAGCTCAAACTCATCAAACGAACGGAAAACAACTGTTATACTCCTGACTTGGTACAGGCATTTCCTTATGTAGAAAATGGTGGATTAAACCTGGTTTTATAGCTAGCTAAACCTCTCTCTTGCAACGCAATTATAGTCCTCTAAACAATAAATTGTAAACTGACATAGGCATGATAGGTTTACGTTAATATATTTCCATATACTATTGACTCTTATTTGTTTCTGTATTGTAAGTAATTTCTTATGTTTCCTATACAATATTTAAAAGTTGTTTTTTGTAGCTAATGAGACATATCAAGGTCAAAGAGACTTAATTTTATATTAAATTATTTATTGCCCATGATAGCTTTTTACGTGAAAAAAAAAAACAAAAAACGTATCATCTGAATAAAGATAGTGATACGATAAGTTAAATCCAGATATTTTAATGACTTTTGAATTCTTATACATTACAGATTTCACTATGGGTTCCGCTTTTTCATCGTCGACATTTTCATTTGCTCAAGAAGACATCGAGGCTTATAACAACCGGAAGTATTCAGCTGCAAGTAATCAGAACATTGACCCAACCTATACAGTAGAAAATATTCGAAGAAAGTCCAGCATGGCTTTGTCTAATCCAGAATACACAGCCGGTGTTTTCCAGAAATCCAAGTCGCAGAAAGCTGGAGGTACAGTTAAAGGTTCACAGCGAGGTCAAGGGTCAGCGAGGAGGAAAGGTATTATATGATTTCATTTTGGACTTGAATATCAAAGAACCATTTTTCAATTCCACAAGGAAAATAAATGCCTTACTGCAATGCAAATTTTCTGTTTTTGACTTTTCAAATTTGTTTGTTGTATACAGAACTTACATCATTGACTTGTATCTATTCGATATCGTTCTAAATATATATAAAGTTATTGCAGTGAATCATTATTATACCAAAAATTAAACAATATCCCCGACTTACTAAACTTAAACGACTTTTACTCTTAAGAATAAAAGATTACATGATAGAATATCATTCTAAACTTTATATCTGAATTTTAATGTTAAACTACTGAACTCGTATAAGGAACAACGATTACATTTCTTTTGGTTGGGAGGAGAGTCTGAGGATTTTCAAGGATGGAATTCCTTTTAACTTGTTGCTAGACTGGCTTATTATTTGGTGCGACAAAGTGACATTCATCCGATTTCACAAAAAAATGTACTTTAACATGGTAGATTTAGGAAAAAAATTAGAGACGAATTTGTCGTATCTGATCATGCAGTTCAAAGGTTGCGGGCTTAATGAAAAGTTATCAAATTATTTATTATTTCACAATTTATTTGACCTGGACACCAGGGAAAATTTTTCAGGAAATAAACTTTCTTTTTATAAAAAATCAATAGATGCGATTCATTAAAAATTGTTCAAAATGAAAATAATCATAAACGTTATGTTATATAATTTTTTTTTAGCATCTCCTGATTTCAAGCGCGCTTTTTAGACTAAATGAATTTCATTAGTTGATGATGTGCTTTTTCTGCATTTTTCAAGAAGGGTAAACATGAATTCCGAAATCGGCTAAAAAAAAATGAAAATGAGATTGAAAACAGACAGAACTATAGATTGTGTACAAATTCAATGTGTAAGCATTACATATTACTGGTCACGTGGGCCCTTCAGCATGCCCAGTAACTTATGCCAGAACCAGTTTTATACATCACTGGGTCTATACCTCTGCTGGTGGACTATCAGTCCCCGAGGGTATCATCAGCTCAGTAGTCAGTACTTCGGTACTGACATGATTTATAACAAACTTTTCTAAAATTGTCCGTTTATAAATTTTGAAATTACAAAGAAACTAAGGTTTCAACTCCCTCAGGCAAAGTTGACCTTAGATGGATTTGGCTATTTGTTTTAGGTATTTTTGTCATATAGCTCTTCAACTGTTTCGGTACTTATACATCCCTCGGATTTCAAATGTTTGGCTTTGAGCGTTCCTGATGAAGGTAAATCCAGAAAAGCGCTTCGGACGCATGAAATTATTAAACGTGTTGTTTTCAATTTTATACACAACTGTTACAAGATTGACGCTTAAGTTAAGTTTAAAGATGGGTAAAAATTACACAATAATTGGTTTATACTTATAGAAGTTATATCTACATGTTTGTTCCGAATTACATGTATGTATATAATTATTTTTTTCAGAAGAATCATGTGATTACCAAAATATCAAAAAGACAAGAAGACTTACATAACGGAGAATTGTAAAAACAGTTTTATTATAATGAAGGAACAGTAGAACATATAATGGAGATAAGAAAATACAGTTTTTTCTATCACAACATGAGATGTGGTTACTTTACACGGGAAAATGATTTATTTAATGAAAAATTGATAAAAAAAAGACTGAAAATATATAATGTTTTACTTCCAAATCCTCAATGTATTTACAATTGAATGTTGATTGCTTAACGTTTATTGGCATTATTTTGATTTTATGGCATATTCAGGTCTAGAACACATCAAGTTCGGCAAAGTAAGTCGACAGGGATAAAAAGCTAAACAATTTGACTGCCACACACTTAATATCGATTGGTGTTGTTACGAGCTGAAGTTTTGACGAGGGATAACAAATTGACACCTCAGAGAATAGTTACAAGAGTTCCTCAACGAACAGAGAGAGTAACACTCAACTACCACAATGCATCAACCTTTACGTCTTCATTCCGACCGGACGTAGCTGTGCATTAATACATTTTGCTTCAGTTATCCAAATACATTTAAAACCAATAAAACATCTACTGATCAACACATGCTCCTTAACGAACGATACGTGTTAAGTCTATCGTCATAAAAAATATGAATTTTTTTTAACTAGCTGATCACTGCCGTTTATACCAGATTTACACACTCTAAACAGTATCATGGATCACGGATCCTTATATGGCACGGATAAATGAAATCCGAAGACTAACATAAATTTTAAACTGTATCTCCTCCATTTATCAGACAGTATGACAGTTTTGTTTATTCCGTTATTTGATATTGTATAGCGTTTGATTGCCAGGTTTATGGACTTTGCCCCCTTTTTAAATATGCCTTGGAGTTTGGTGTTTTTGATAATACGTTTTTCTTTATCTTGACCATGATCAGTATTCTTGACAGCGATTTTACCACTCTGTTTGTAGAAACTGATTTAACGTTTTGAAAATAAAAAAAATGTTTATAATAAAAAAAGATAAATCCAACAAAGATGCCGGGAGTATAATCTGGTTTATCAGATACTTTTTTCGTCTGAGTCAGTTACACGAGGGTGAAGCCGCGTCAATCAACAATGGCATCGACATCGACCCCGTGGTTGTAAAAACTCATCAAAGGAAAGGCACTCTGTTCGCATTAACGTTTTCAGTTGCGCGAGATCAACACTATCAAAGTTTATTTATCGATAATAAAACAAAATCATACAGTGTCAGAATTGGAACATAAAAGGACACATAAACCCGAAACTTCAACTTCAAAACAAAGACTTTGAAATCTTCATTAAATTTTGTTTTAATCTAATTTTGAATTAACCAATTCTTAGATAAGTACGCAGTAGTATAGAGTCAGAAAATATGGTATTCACGTCGTGTATGTCTATATAAGAGGGGCGAAAGATACCAGAGTGACAATCAAACTCATAGATCGAAAATAAACTGACAAAGCCATGGCTAAAAAAGAAAAAGACAAACAGACAAATAACAGTACACAGGAAACAACATAGAACACTAAAGACTAAGCAACACCACCAAAAACTGGGGAGGATCTCAGGTGATAATAGAACTTGTCACGTTTACCACCAAAAACTGAAATAAGCTGATTCGCCGCTGATGAGAATAAAATATATAGGGAAATACACGTAGGGATCAGTCAGGTTAATTTCGTGCCCAACATGTTGTAGAAATTAAATTAAACATTGTCACCACAATAAAATAAGGCTACAGTGACGGTGTTCTTACAAATCAGCTTCATATAGCAAAAGCATTGCTAATGCTAGTAAGTAATTTCATGATTAAATTGTCCACAGAAAATCGTGTACAGCATACTTGAAGAGTTGTCAAAACTAATATTGAGATCAAGACATTTTATTTGTCGTACAAACCGTTTGCGGCATTCTTCAGAACACTGGTTAACTCATCTGCAAACCAAGTTCATCTTTTTGCCGCTTTGACATAGCTTTAACTATTTTTTTGTAATATCCGCCAGCACTGCTCAAACCTGTTCAGGAAATGAATCATTCGTTACTTTTTTCATTTCTTTTGTTCTCATGAAACTTTTATCTACACAATGTTATTCTCCTGCCTGCGAATCTATTATGTTTTTTTTTTGATGTAACGTAAATGAAAACGTCACATGAATATCCAAATATCATGCCAAACCATCGCACTTCAGCAAAAGGACTATCGTACTTCGGCGCTGACCATCGCACTTCAGCGTGACCATCGCACTTCAGCGTCCCCATCGCACCTCCGAGTCCTACATATATATGTGTATATTCATAAGTGTTGATGAAGCAAGGTGTTGATGACTATATTATGTTTATTGAAAAATTTTGGTTTCAATGCTATATCATTTATATTAAATACATATTTTATTTCGAATTGTTGTTAGAATTTCTAGCCAAGGAAAATATTTTTTGTTACAATCAGTCCCTAAATTGATGAAACATAATAGATAGAAAAATAAAATAGGTCTTTGCTAATTGAGACTTGGTAGAGTATGGTTCAGACTAGGTCTTGCGTGGTTCAGACTTGATCTCGAATGGTTCAAGCACTTATATGAATAGTAAATTACTGGTCCAGTAAACGTCGAGTACATGTTCTACCTGTTAAGAATAGTTCAAACTAAAGTCGAGTAATATCTAGTAAATTTCAGACCAATTCAGACTGGTCGAGTAAACCTACTTGTAACTATATGTTAAGTTTATGCAAATTCGATTGATATGACAGTTCTCTTATTTCTTATATTCAATATCAAAAATAATAGATAAAACAATTGTATTACCTGAATGCATGGACAATTTCACAATTATTTGTCTAGCAGAGTTGAATTCAAAATTTGAAAAACGTAAAAAGTTTATATATTTAGATATATAATTACAAGGGTAGTGTGTCCATGGTGACGATGTGTATCAAATATATAAATATATCTTACTAGCCATTTGCAGAAACTTTCATACACCTACGATTAGGATTACAATTACACTTTCAGGTAGCATTTAAATCTTGGGTCGTCTCAATGCGTAAATATGAACTGTCGTTTAAAAACAAATTCGAACTCCTATGATGTGTTTCTATAGTTGAATAACAAGGCTTTTAAGAAAAATATGAAGTAATATGTACACATTAATTATTGTACATCATGTTCATGTACGGAGTATGATAGGATGGATAAACATCATTTAATAAGTTTATCATAAGACACAAAAAAAAAAAACGTTGACAGGGTTGGGGTTCAACAAAACTTAGTGCAAAGAAAGGACGACAAACTTAGGAGCAAGTTGGTGATATTAATATGTATGCTAAGACATATAGTTTCCATGTTTTTTTTTAAAGAATATTGAAAGATACACTTTTGTCCACGTTTTTGGTATATAATTTTTAAAAACATCATCGTTATCAATGAATATCTTTTAATTCTATCGAATATATAATTCAAACTATTCGTCAGACTCTGTTGAAATGCAAGATAGGATTACTCAAATAGTTGGAATTGTACTATCTATCTTCTTGAAATAAACAAAACCAATACCGTGTCTAGACCTGCGTCGAACTTTGACAAACATTTTCCCTGTGCAATGAGACTTGTAAATTTTCAAACTATCGGTTCTGAGTTGTTTGTTTTTGTTCAATTTGTATAGAGATCTTGGGAATCAATTGCGTATAGACGTTTTTTTTCACTATGTCTATAATTATGTCTCTCATATAAACATTGGTGGTTCTGGTCTTTTATGACGGCCACACAAAGTTTATACGCAAATTATTTCGTTGATTAAAGGGAATAAAAGGTGCATATGTATATCAGGCGAGAATAAATTGTTTAAAAAAAATCGGAAACAATCTAAAACGGTTAGGGAGCCCTTTCGGATGCAAAATGTATCGTGAAAACGAAGGACATTGATATTTCAAAAGAATTGATAATTATATTGCGTTACTTGCTTATCGGATATTCCGTGATTTTCAACTGCACCGTTCGTAGAGTACCTTCTGAACGAATTTTTGCTGATTTTGCTGTACTAAATTAAGTAACACACAATTTTAGAACTATAACAAAACAATTATAAACATTAAACAAGACAACAGCATGTTCGAAAACCCCATCCTATGTAAATTAAGTCTAAAAAATCACAGATAGAGTTATTGCACACTATAAGGTCAACGTTTGAACACGCCATTGGAGAATACATAAAAAGTTATGGGGGATTTTCTAGTGACATACCCAATACAGCTATCCGAATCTGTTGTGACCATTTGCGCTGCATAAGTGTGTCGTCGAAACGTTTTATTTACACAAGAAAAAGCAATCAATTGGTTTTACAAGGTATCTATATTGTTGCTTTTTAAATTTTGATAAAACCCCTTGTTTTTCGTCAACTGTAATCGTAAGTCTAAATGTAATCCTAGGTATAGACGTAGTTTCCGAAAATAGCAACCCATTCTTGTCCGAGCGGTTTCATCGATGTGTTTTAAATTAATAATACATAACGGACTTTAAGGAGAGAGTTCGAGTCCCAGTGAATGCAAATAAAGATTACAAGAGTGAAAAATAGTAGTGTTTTAATTAAGTTTCATCTGTGAGCAGAAATCAGTAATTAGCTTATTCAAACTTAATGCACAAAGGAAACAATAGAATGTAATTTGGTGTCACTATTTCAGAGGTTGATTTAGTAAGCGTTGATTCTGTAATAGTTATCCCTTGAGGACGCGTTGCGTCAGAGTACGATCATCCCAAGAGGGCAGAGGGCGATCTTACACTGACACACCAAGTGCAAATGGGATAACTATTTTTACATCCCAGCTGATAGATATTCGATAACAACCATTTACGTTTTATTAACTTTAGTTAAGAACGCTTATAACATACTTTATATATTATTTTATAGAATATACCCTTTCTGAGCCTCGGACACAATGTTAAAATTTGTTAAATTGACAGAGAATTTGTATCCAGTCGTCCTGGGGTAGTGGTATGAAACGTGAGTCTATGTGTTTAAGTTCTTCAGTTCAAATATCAGCATAGACACTGAATTTTTTTCTACATAAATTTTTATAGTGATTTTGTTATGTAAAAATAAATAAGTTTTATTGTGGATTTAAAATTCTCGCCAAAATGTAACAGAATAATGGAAAGCTTGCAGAACAAAGACACTCAAGCTAGGGTGATCTGAAAGTGTGACCCTGGTAGAATAAAAGAGCTGGGATGTAATGAAGAAAAAAACCCAAGACAGATGAATAGGCTGACGTCTCGTCACGGCAATGGTTTAAATTGACTTAATTGACAGATGTGTGATTTTACATGAAAAAAATCCAACAGAGTTATAAAGAAGAACGAATGAAAACCAACACTACTTAAGTTTTACGGTCACAATCAGAAATGGATTGACCGATACGATGTGTCCGTGTCTGCAGTCACTAAACATGTTTCCGCGATCTTGGATCTTTGAATACCAGTAAAGTAGCATAATCTGTGGTCTAATGTTATCGATTGTGTCTAATTTCCGAATATAACATTTTGACAGAGCATTTCAAAGTATGAATTCACATGTATAGCAGGAGATGTACATGTATACATTATCGACGTTACTTGTTTTGCGCTTTTTGAATTCCCTCACTTTTTGTTTGTTTCCTTGACTTATCTCTTCCTTATCGATTTACGAGATATGCACGCCGGTTAGATACTGTAATTTATAACTATATTGCTTCTATTATAAATTTCCTTTTTCCTTTTTAGTTTTGGTATTGGTAGCTGTATCATTATCGTTATCAAGTGGATAGGAACAAATCAAAGGTGTCACACGGTTATATGGAACACTGGATAAACAACCTACGAAAGGAGCCATTGGATGTATTATTTTGGAGAGCAAAAATGTGCTCATATGCCGAACAATCATATGAATCAGGTAACAAACAAATGCGAATAATAAACTGGACAGAATTATCTAAAGGACGTTTTAAACCTGATGTAAAAATAAACACCTATGCTGTTGCAATTGTAAGTAACCATTCCCATCATCATGGTTTCGATAGACATATAGATCACAATACGTTTTTCCTTGTTAATCCACCGAAAAAATTTTCTGAAAAAGCTGAAAATATTTTAAACGGCAAACTATTAAATTTCCGATCATGTAATGGTACCAAGGACAGAGAAGATTTCCCCAAAAGAAACATTATTGTAAAACAAATGTCAACACTGTTTTCTGTACATGCTATCATTTTAGATTATTTTATTGATTCGAAGATGAATTCTGGGTATCTACTGGTTTTTACAAGAAACAATTCAGAATGTGCGATGCTAAAACACGCGCTTATCTTTACGACTGCAGTAAACTTTATTCCAGGGACATATAATTTATTAGATAAAGAAAAGTATCAAAATATTTCGATATTAGAACACTCTTTTCAAAAAAATATACGTAACCAAGGATGCTAACTCGTTCTTCGAGAACTGGGTATTGTTCATGTGTCCTTTGTACGTTTTTTTACAATTACGTATTTGTACAGATATGGAATTTAACAGGAAACATGTTCTATGGACATTCTTTTTATTTTTATCTATTCTCCGATAGTACTTTCTCAACTTATGTTTACTCGCCATTGCTGATTTCGACAAACTCGCCATTAACGGACATCCTCAAAATATATGTATTGGAAAGAGCATGGTGGAGAAAATTTTTGTTAATTGGCAGTGGTTATTCCACATCAATAACTATGTTATTAGTATTTTCGGAAACAACTCACATTATTTATGTGAGTCAAGTGGTGTTATTTTCTGTATTTATCAATGGTGCACTTTGTATATTATTGTTGACTGAATGCATTGTCAATTGTTTGAACCTACGTGTACAATGGTTACCAGAGCCTTTTGAAATTCGTTCCTTATTTATTTTGATATCACCAATGCCTTCAAACGCATTTGTTATCATTTCCAAGTTGCTGAATTATCATAGAATTAAAATTGAGAATGGAAATGGGGAATGTGTCAAAGAGACAACAACCCGACCATAGAGCAGACAACAGCCAAAGAACTGTTTACGATAAAATAGTCAGATCGTTTGCACATCTATTTACTTTTTTAACATATTTCATGTTGGATGACAATAAAAATTGTATGAGAGGCGTAGTTGATATGATAATATCAATTTTGGCTTTATGGTTTAAATTTAGCAAATATTTTATAGTGTTAATGTTTTTTTGAACTTGTAAGGAATATCTGCAGAATTTATTGGTCAAATCTTTTGTATTGGATATTTCAAACTCTTCTGTACTTTGTCTTTATGTCGTTTATTTGTTATATCCTTAGCTTCTGGTTGCAGTATTTTATAAATACATATCATCTTAATACTGAATGGCTGTTCTCCATTAGATCATGGATCCC